ATATATGTGTATATATATATACTGTTTTAATCATGAAACATATGTACGCAAAACAGTTGCTTGATTTTAAGTCTGATATATAATGATTTACATTAATCAGGTGTTAATTTATTAACTATTCTGACCAATTAAATTAAGCAGTGCAAAAATCTGATCTCCACATACATACAGTAAAAAGGTGAAAATGTTCACTTTCGAGCCCCATTTTAACTGTAGTTATACAAGATTAAAGCAGTCTGCAGAGTTTAACTTTCAGTTCTGAGCAGAGCATGTGAGCGGTGCGGAGCGTGAGTGGAGTGGTAATATTTCCTTAAGAGCATGAGCGGGAATTGGTTTACGGCGAGCGTGAGCGGAATATTAACGGAGCACTTGCTTGGGCGGTTAGAGCGACTGAGTGGAGCGCACGTCCATAGAGCGGAAAATGTAGCGGAGCGCTTCGCTCACATGCTCTGGTTCTGAGCTGATTCTGGGGCTATCTGACCTTCTTGTACCTTTATAATAATCCCTTTAGTCATTATCCATCATTATCAAGAATCACTCAGATCAGCAGTTAATGTGAGTCATCTACTCAAGGGTCACATGCGTGGGAGTTTGCATGTGTATGTGTGGCGACCGTATGCCTTTAACTGAGGCATTAAAAACTTTATTTTCTCTTCAATAGAGTTTAATGAAAGACAAAATGCTCAAGGGATGGATCTTCGTCTCTAAAGAAGGAAGGCTGATGTTGGGGATTATCCGATATATCCAGATCCCTCCTAAAAACCTGCACACAGGGGAACGGGCATCAGATAATCATGCTTGTTCAGTGCTGATGTCTGCTCTTGGTTAGCAAGCGTATCCAAGGGGAAACAGAGGCAAAGAAACAGCTTTAAAGGTCGATGGTCTGGAACAGTGGCCCAGCCATGCCAGGATTGAAAAAAGGGACAGGAGCAGTTAGGGAGAATTTCAAGGCAGTGGCACTGCAAGGATCTGTATGTTTGTGTGTAAAGTCACCGCACAGTTCATCTCTCCCCTTCCGGGCAGGGGAGTCAGCAGCTCATATAGAGCACAACTTCAAAGAGACGCCCCTTCATTTCCAAATCTGCGCCTACCTCCTCGCTATAGCACGCTAATTAAAATAGGTCTTGCTCTAACTGCTACCTCCAGATCTCTCATCCAAATCCCCCAAACGAAAAAAAGTTACATCATATCTCTACCCCTACTCTCATCAACTAATAGAACATCTTAAGCGTGCCAGCGAACTACTGATAAAAGACAGTGAAGTCTGCCATGTTATTTAGCTGTTTTCATTGGCTTTATGAATCAGATAAATTTTTAGACGAGGATATGAAACGTGGAAGACATCAATAACTAAGTACTTTGATGAGGCTAACAAACCATGTAATTTGGAGAGGACCCATGCACTTATGGGTTTGATAACAGGAAATTATGAATCACACTTAGCCTTCATATGCCCTCTGCTCCCACACAAACAATGCGAGATTCTGGCACAAACTGTATCTTTCATAAAAATAGTGAAATATTATATAAATATACACTACTGTTCAACAGTTTGGAGATGTTTTAATGTTTTTGAAATGAGTCTCTTATGCTCACCAAGGCTACGTTCTGTATTTGATCAAACAAAACTGTAAAACAGTAATATTGTGAAATATTACTACAATTTAAATGTTAATGTAATTTATTTCTGTGATGACAAAGCTGAATTTTAGCAGCCATTACTCCAGTCTTCAGTTTCACACAAAAAGTACAAGTCTTGTATTGCCATGGTTAATAATGATAATGACATCAACCATGGAAATACCATGTTCTCGTACATGTACTGTAGCAATACCATATTATTAATATTATTAATTTTTAACGTTTTACTATCACTGTACCATGGTACCACCATAGTACTTTCTCAGGAGAGCCAAATTTGTCAAGCATGCATGAGCACTGTTCTGAAGACTGTGTTGTTTATCCACCTGCAGGTTTGATTTATTGGTGAACGGAGGCACAGCACTGACGTTGCGATTCGTGCGTGCTCCATTCTCCGCTGTGTATCGCACAGTTTGGTTGTCATGGAGAGTTTTCCATGTGATGGACACACTGGTGATGAGAAAAGAGGAAAGAGACACGCCAACCTGTGAATTTAGTGGCCTTGACAGACCCTCGCCCCGAACCACGCCGTCACCACTCTCCACCTTCTACCGCTCCAGCCCCGAGGCCAGCTCCATCATTCCTGAGACACAGGTGAGTCAAACCGCATCACATCTGGGAGTAAAATGAGTCTCGGTTAATTTTTCCTTAAAATCTAAATAAATTTGACTATGTGCCTCGAGCTCATCTGAGCTGTATGATTTAATGACACTACAAAATATGAGAGAACCAGGTGATTTTTACTTACAGAACATACTGTACGGTCAGGAAAACCAGATATTCTTAAGATCGCCACGCAGATATTGCTACTGAATTAATGATGACAGTGGCGTACTATATCACGTTCCTGTGACAGAAATAATTCACATTTTATGCTTGTAACATAAATCACTTTTAAGGCTATAAGTGGAAGTCAGCAGGGATCAGACATAATTAAAATAGATATTTTTTGTGGGAATGCATTATTTTATATGACTGTCATTCTGAAGATGTTCGTATGATGCTGCTTGAAAATTGCATAAGTTGTCTTTTTAACCCTTCAAAAAGCTTCAATCTGAATGTGTATAAAGCGGCTTCATTTTTTCTAAACTCTTGACATCCAGGTTGCCATACACTACCGTTCAAAGTTTTGGGGTCAGTAAGATGTTTTAATATTTCTAAAATAAGTCTCTTATGCTCACCAAGGCTGCCTTTATTTGATCTAAAATACAGGAAAAAATAAATAAAAATCCCCCAAAAAATCTTACTGACACCAAACACTCCCAAGTACAAGAAGAATGAATTCAGTGTGAATTTATGAAGCAGGACATTTTGTTTGAAATATCTGACAATTAAAAAAAAAAATGATAATAGGCCACAAGGAAATTTACTCGACAGGCAATTAACTTCCTCTCTCATGCACATTTTTAATCACAGGTTCTTCACGAGCACACGGCCATTCCTGGGAGTGATTTAGACTTGATTTACTTGAGTTCACGTGCTTCAGCCTACAAACCTGTTCTGAAGGTCATCTTGACCCAGTCCAGCGTGCCCTTCAGCTTGGCTCGGGTCCACCTCATGGTGGCTGTGGAGGGCAGAATGTTTCAGAAGCAGTTCCCAGCTTCACCCCGGCTCTCTTACAGCTTTATCTGGGACAAGACAGATGCGTACAGCCAGAGAGTCTATGGACTCGCAGAGGCTGTAGGTAGGTAGTAGAACTATGGGAGGAAACAGATCTATATAAAGCCTTCTGTGTATGAATATATTATTAACTTGAACTGATTTAAACCAGGAGCAAATGAATATTTTTTCACCCAGATATTTCAGTGGTGAGATGAATCTCCCTAATCTGATAGTACAAGTCAAACGGATTATTAAACAGACCAGAAGGTTGAACGTAATATTCTCTGAACCCTAAACGAATGGTTGTTAAAGTGATTTAGGACAGAGAATACAGGACAATAAAATGGTTTCATTCTAATGCTGGCACAAAATGTATGATTTAAACCTTGCTGAAAATACACAGTTCAAAAGCCAATCTCATTTTGTTGAATTTGCAGCACATGCTTAATCGTTATCCTAACCATCTTTTGCTAAACTGACACTGGGTTGTGTTCTAGCAATAAATAAAAGGTATAAGCAGCTGCATTTTTCTAGTCCATCTATATATTGCTGACTGCTCTTTGCATGTATAATTAGTCTGCAAATGAAGCGCACTGAGAAACACCAGCTTTCAGAAGGTCACAGGCCCATTTGGAAAATGTTCCTATGACTGGACTCGTTGTAATCATGCTATTTGCTGAAGTATTTTTTCCTTAACAAGGTTGTAGCTGCTCTGAAATAGTTACTGTACCAGTTTTCCATGTGCATAAAAAGTAAATTGTCAATACCACATATTTTGCTGGTATTACATACAATACACAAGTGAGTCACCTATAGAACAAATTTTTTTTACAATTATATATACCTAAAATATTAGCTTTAATTGATTAATCTAAACATGAAACCTATATTAAATTAGGTAGAAAAAACATTTAAGGATAATAGATTTCTTTTGCCCTGTTTCCTCCTCTGTTCTTTAGTATCCGTGGGCTTTGAGTATGAATCATGCCTGAATGTGATCCTATGGGAAAAGCGGACAGCTACGCTGCAAGGATATGAGCTGGAGGCCTCCAGCATGGGCGGATGGACCCTGGATAAGCATCACATTTTGGATGTGCCAAACGGTAGGAATCGCTTATTAAACCGCACCGGAACCACCTCGTGGGAAATGTCCCCTCACCAATTCAGGGGTCAGTGGCTCTACCTGGACTCATTGTCATAAATATTAATCTTAACATGAAATATGGTTCATTGCCTCATTTGCACATAATAAAGCAGCGTTTGAAAGGGCTAATCGTTCACAGTGATGACAGATTAAATCGGAATCATTAACACAGCGTGCCAAGTCAGAACTGTGTTCTCCAACATTATGGGGGACATGATTTGGCTGAATGAACTTTATCCAGTTTTCAGGCGCAGAATGCATACTTATAGCTTAATTCAATAAAAGTGCCATTAAAACACAAGCATGAATATGGAAATGTGGCATTATTCCACCAGACATTCCCTGTTCCTTTGTCTTCATAATGAAACAGGGTGACAGGGAAGCTCATTCCGTCAGCTTAAATCTCCATATTCACACACATAATGGCATCTTTTTGTTCTTGGTAAATGACGATGTGTGCACAGTTTGAACCAGATCCAGCAGTCGTATTTAATGGCGCATTTTGGGAGAAGTCGGCTTTGCAGCACATCCCGATGCCCTAAATGAAAACACAAGATTAGACTGACACTTTTCAGGTGCGGTTGTCTCAGGTTGTTTCTCTAGAGTTAGTTAGTGTGACAACAACATCTGATTGTTCCTCGCCTGAACCAAAGATTTTAAGCCTCTTTTTGATTGCTGGCTAAATGCCCAGTTGGCCTTGGGATTTCCACATCCTTTAATCCGACGACCTGCCGAACAAATGGTCATGGCCGTCTGCTCAAGCCTTATTTTTGCACCTCTAGACAGTTTATCTGGTTTAAGCAGTGTTTCTGCCAATAAGTCTTAAATTCTCATTTTACACCTCAAGTGCCAGAGTGGATTAAACCAATTGCAGATTTTCGGAGATATAGAGATAGTTTATATCATTATCTTATTTAGATTAGACCATTATTATAGAAATGCTTTGGTGTTCGAATTTTATCATTTCATAGTTAATACTGATTAGTTAATAGTGCATTTAATTGATTTGCCTTTTTATAATTATTTTCAATGCATGCAGATGACATCATGGCATATTTTTATCTGTTATGGTAATATTAGGAGATTTTTATACTGCTTAGATTTTTTATTTTTTTTTGCTAGCTGCTGAAGTTCATAGACTTTGAATGGAAGATTAACTGCATTGTTTTTGCTGTTTTTGTGAACTAAATCTGTCAAAAACCTCACAGACACAGTTGAAAGCAATGGAACAAAAAGCCTGGTAACTGCATATTCTGATGGAAAGCACTGAGGCATAGAGCATCTGTCCTAGAGCTCTCAGCTCTGTTATATATAAATCCATAACATGATCGCCTGTTCTTCATAACTCAGTTAGCAGGTCTGTGGTTAGATGAGTTTTACACGGGGTTACTCATTATTTATCCACACGCTCATAATCTTCTTAGGCATCGATTTATAAGTTTACTCTGAGAAGAATAGTGCTTAAAAGAGCTTAACACATAAATCTGGCTCACCCTGTTTAATCTGAGTTTTGTAAATTAGATGAAAGCTTTGCACATTTGGGCATGTCACCTTTACAATCTTTTCGATTAGTGAGTTTCTGTACATCAGAAGTGATGCATGGGAAGTGATGGAGATGGGAAGACATTTTGTCCTGAAGAACATGTCACAAATGTAATCAATTTGCCAAAGGGAGAGCTTCTCTTTGACAGTCCCATTTGTCTCACTGATTGATAATGCAGAGCCTCTCATATCTATGGCTTACAGGTCTGATCGGCAGTCAGCGGCTGTGCAAACTGTGTGCTTGGGCATATGTGTATGTGTTTGAGCAAGAGCTACATCCCATTGCTGAGCTTTTCTTTATAACACAAGCATACTCTTGTTAATTTTAAATATTTAATCACAATCTTTATCTTCAAAATGTATCATATCGTCCAAAATGCTAATACAAAAATGCTTCTATTTTGAATCCAAACAAAAAAATATTACAAAAGTATAACAGTTTAAATGAAAAGGTTGAACTGAAACATTTTGTTGAATTTGAGAAATAAATATTTTGTTTGTCGTTTTGAGAGCAGTATGAATTCCACAAGTTTGTGTAAAACCTGATCATGCAGCATGAGCCAAAGAGCATATTGTACTTTTTAACAAAGCAAGAATAACTAACCATCATTACAAATGAGTTCACATGATCAGTGTTACTAAGTTGCTTATGCAATTAGTGATTCTTCTTTTTGTCTCAACTTCATTTTAAATATTTTCACATTTCTAATGATTTGTTTTAACTAGGAAAAATATGTTTAGTGAAGACGAAATATTAAAAATGTTTCACTGTTTCTATGTTCTCATTTTATTTGTTCTTTAGAAATATATTTCTTTTTTTGTTTTTATGTTAAATTCTAAAAGTTTAATTTTAGGGGGAAAAAAGTTGTCTCAGACTTTTGGACCCTACTATAGATGTCAATCCTTAACCTTTTTGGTGAATTTTTCCGATATGGCAGACTGCTTAGTCTGACGCCTCTTTATGAATGCTGCAGAACACCTAGAATATTTGATATTCAGCTTGTTTGCTTGACATTTACAAAATAGTTTTATTTATCCCATTGCTATTTGATCAGCATATTTGCTCAGTGAATAATCAATAAGCATAAGCATTGCATTACTGTAGATGACATTGAATGAAATTTCCATTTATAGAGTTTGTTGTACTTCATAGACATTAACATGTAGCTGAAAGTGGCCAAAACAAATCGACTGCTTTTCACCTAAAGGTCTAGCCATAAAGTCACAAGTTAATCAGGCCACAATTTACAGCCTCCATGCTGCATGGTAATGACAAACACTAATGAAAAACATGCACTTTAAATGTAATTATTTTGTGATGCTGCATGTACACTCTAAAAAATGCTGGGTTAAATATGGACAAACCCAGCGATTGGGATGTTTTGACCTAGCAGTTGGGTTACTGCGCAGAAGGTTGGGTTAAACATTTAACCCAACTGTTGGTTGAAAACAACCCAATCGCTGGGTTTGTCCATATTTAACCCAGCATTTTTTAGAGTGTAATTAGAAGTTCTTGCAATGCTTGCACACAATTTGTGCTATGGATATCTTAAATTGTGTGGCTTGTTGAGGACAGCAACTGGTTTTATTGTTCCTTGAGGATGATGGAAAAGCAAAAAAAAAAAAATCACATAGACCTGTGCTGAGGGAGCTGAGCTGAACCACATCTATGGAATAAAGTATCATAAAGATATTGAACATTGTTAGTAAGAAACCTTACAGAACACTGTGTCCTGGCAACCGCCCACAATGCCTTCGTGGCACCGATGTCGATTATTACAATCAATATATTGTTAATGTTGTTCTTGTAGCACAGGGTTTGCACAGGACTTACAATCAGATCTTTGTAGTTCATTATTTTCTTCCTAGTATTTGAACAGTGGTTCATAAGTAGTGTGAGCAGTGCATAATAAGATTAGGGCAATGCAATGCAGCAATCGCACAGTTTGAGTAAGTGAGAAGTGTCATTGGTTTGTCTTGCTGTCAAGGTCAGTGGCTTTGTTGAGTCGCACTTAAAAGCAGCCACCCAGACCAATTCATCTTACTTAATGGTACATCGTAGACCTCTGAATAAGAACAGCAGCTTCTATTGGGCCGGGTGTTCTCGAGATCCCCTCTGACTGTGTCTTCATTCCAGTCCTCCTCTCAATCAATTAATCAATGGCAGGGCCTAATCAAGCAGGAACAAATTGCTATGCACCCTGCTTAGCTGCACATGGGAAGACATTAGCCATGATTCGCATGCAGTTCAGAATTGCAGAGGGTTTTGGGTCATTTAAGCACTCTGTGAATTAACAGCTGATATCAGCCAATGACAGTTTACCACGCTTGCTGCTAAAGTGACAGTCATCACACTAAAGAGGAATGCCCAATGAGACTTGGCACTGAATGCACTTGATTTGTCTCCTCGGTGACAGTGCATTCAGGATAGGCACAAATCTACATATTTTGCTTTCTTTTGTTCAAAACCAGCTATAAAGTGTGCAACTGAATTATATGGTTTTGTATGTTTTTCAAATACTTTTTTTTGCATGACATACCATTTTAAAAACACAATGCTCGTGGCAGGACACTCTAAACAGCGCAAGATGCAATGCAACAGCAGAAGATTTCTGTCTGAATGTGTATGACTGTTTTTTAATGGCTGGTACTTTAACAGGGGATGCAGCTGAAGATGCAACTTTTTTATTCTTATTTTTTATTCAGTCTCATATTGTTTAATTAAAATGCCATACCTCGATCTTTCAGTGAAAACAACAGACGTTACTTCAGTTTTGTGACTTTAATTACGTTCACTCAGTTGTCTGATATATCTGCTACACAAAATAAATACAATGTGGCTAGATCTAAATGCTGAGATCATTTATACCTTTGTTATATATCGTCATATATCACCCAGCCCTAAAACCACTCTATGTTAAGGAATTATATACAGTACATAAAAGTATGAATGTAAAGCGCTATACAAATAAATTTGACTAACAGCTAAAGCACACTATGCTGAATGTATGCTAATTAAAGCTCCTCTGCAAAAAAAAATGTCAGAACTACCTAGGAAAAAAATAAATAAAAATAGTCTATTTTCTGTATTTCCATGACCGGAGTAGACCACCCTCCATTAGAAGACAGCCAAAAAGGTATCTCTGCTCTGGATCTGACACTTTGGTTTGTCTTGCACAAGAAAAGAAAAAATTAAATACATTTCAAAGAAACTGGGCCGAAGAGCTTTAGCCTTGACAAAACATTTGAAACTGAACAGTTTCAGACTCCTATAGTTTTAATGAAACTCGGCTTCTGAACCAATTACAAAGCAGAGGCGATGGTGTGTAGCCACTGAGGTAGCTAGTTACTGAACTTGAGTTGTAGTGGCCAGCCAATGGGAGTGTAGTTCAGTGCAGTGTTATTGATGTGATTAATAGGCCAAAGCAAGTGTTGGAAGTCTAACATGTTGCTCAGTATGAATAATTTATGGCCCTGGGCATGGTACTTCCCTTTGAAGTTCCTCTTTGAAGCCAACCCCAAAAAGAAACAAGTTAAATTTTCACAGGACTGAAATATTTATCTGTAATGACCCAAGCTCCTCGCTCAGTCTTGGACTGAAAATGGTGTTAAAATGATTGAAACGATCCAAGGTTTTAGAAGCTGAGATCTATAGGGACTGGAAAATAAAGCACACAGCTGAGTGGACAATCACCTCTCAGGTGATCGAAATGTCTCCGGTTGGTACATTTAATGCCTGAGGACCATATTCTTTTTTTTTTTTTTTTATATTGCACATTTGAGACAGATTCTGTTTTGCCAGCAGAACTGCTATTGTGTGGCATAAGCTTTTTCTCTGAACATGTTATAAAATAGTTGCTGGAAAACGACGTGAGAGACAAATACATTTATGTGCTAAAATAATTAAGAAAATATAACTAATAAGTAGATTATTTTAAATGTAGAAAATAACATTTTTAATGAATTGACAAACTATAGCATAGCTTGTATTTTGCAGATGAAATATATTTATCCTTCTGCTCATTTTCATTTCAAATTGCATTGAAAGGAAAATAATGTTAAACCAAAATAACAAAGAGCAACATAAACTAAAAAATTCTGTAATTCTGCTTAAAACTAGACTGCTCAAGAAGTGCTCAATTTATTTCAAAAGTTGAAGTCTAATCATCCATATTAATGAAAATGTTCATTATGGTCGCTCAGATGCCTTTAGCAGCTTAATTCTTTTTGGTGCTTCCTCATCAAAGTGCTACTTCAATGTCCACATTAATGGAGTTTCTAACGGAAGTTCGGGAAGATCACAGCGCTAAGTGCCCCCTTTTCATAGTGATGTCCAGGGTAGGAACTTTCATCTTTAGTTGAGATATATGCTCAGGCCTATCCATTACAGCCAGAAAAAAAAAAAGAAAAAAAAGTCTGCTCTTTTTTTTCCATCCCTCTTATAGATTACAAGAGCATTTGAGGTTGTGAAGTCAGATAAGAATAGCATTTCTCTGCTTGTCTGTATAAAACAAATTAATCAAGTTCATGCATAATGTTTTTTTTATTGCAATTGCAATAGCATTTTTAATTTTAGTCTTATTTTTATTTTATTATATTTTTATTAGTTTTATTAGTAGTAGTAGTAGTAGTAGTAATTTTCTATTCTTGGGTCTATGTGACTTTGGTTTTTGTGAAAATCATTATTTTTGAGAAAGAAAAATAAACTTTTTTTTCCTCCCACTCTCTCTGGTGTCTCAGGGATCCTGTATAAGGGAAATGGTGAGAACATCTTCCTCTCCCAGCTTCCTCCCATCATCAGCACCATAATGGGGAATGGCAGACGCAGAAGCATCTCCTGTCCGAGCTGTAATGGGCAGGCAGAGGGAAACAAACTGCTGGCTCCTGTTGCTCTCGCATGGGGCATCGACGGGAGCCTGTTTGTTGGCGACTTCAATTACATCAGACGCATCTATCTGTCAGGCAATGTCACCAGTGTCATGGAGCTCAGGTGAGTGAGCACAACTGGATGGGTGATTCAGCTGCACGGAAATCTGGCAGAATACCTGAGGAAACATTTTGTGACAAATCACAGCATGCTGAGAGGCAGCGTCTAGACATTGTCTTTCTACAAAACATTTAAAAGCATAACTATTTTTAATCCACAAAACTTTATAGTCCTCATAAAAAGGAGGCCTTGAAATTCTGCATAATAGCGACACCAATTCTCACAGCAGGCGATTTTTGAAGTCCGACAGTAATTGTCTTGAAAGTTATTGTTGAATGCTGTGAATCTGTAAACGGAGCTTTGATAGCTGTAGCAGCAGTGGTTGAAAGGGGATTAATTGAGACATTTAGACAGTGTTGTGCTTTAGCCTGTTAGAAAGGTAAACTCTGTCAAAGATGTTATTTTATTTCAAATCTACTCTCTTTGAAATACACAGAATTTGAGAATAGACATAGAATTTTAGGTTACACTTTATTTTAAGGTGTCGTTGTTACAGTGTTATTATACATTACTGAGTAATATTAATTAACTACATGTACTTACTAAAATAAGATTACTAAAACTTAAAGTAAAATTTAAATAAAAACTGAAAACATAAAAATAAATCAAAGCTCAAAATATTAATAATGAAATAATCTAATAATTAAAAACAATTACAAATATTAATAAATACTAAAATACTATGTAAATAAAATGAAAACACTGTTAAGGACTAATTTTAGAGGTATTGCAAACTCGTATAGAAGTATATATATAAATAACTGAGTAATATTAATTAACTACATGTACTTACTATATGGTTAGGGTTAGGGTTTGGCTTAGGGTTACTTGCATATAATAATGCATAATTAATTGTTATTATAATAGTAAGTACATGCAACGTGTAACAAGGACACCTTAAAAAAAAGTGTTACCAAATTTTATTTCAACATGTTGTTACATACAGTGTTAAGAATCAATGTTTTTTTATTACAAATACATTTCATTAATTGAAGTATAGCTGAAATTAAATAAAAAAAGATATATCAGAAGAAAAACTTGAAATAAATAAATAAAATGTTGCTCCGACAATTAACTGAAATATTTGTTTAAACTGAAGTTCTAAAATAACTGATATATAAATAAGATATATAAATACAAAAAAGTATAGAATTGTGGAGAATACCTACAGTAGTCCACAAAACTTGATGGACAAGTGGTTATGTGAAGTAAATAGAATAAGTGTGTGCTATTTTACCTAAACTTGTCATACTGTATATTCTTACTATATGTTTCCCTCCTTTTTTCAAACTACCCAAAGAAATAAGGATTTCAGGCACAGGTAAGTTACATTTAGTAAATGTCACACAATGCTGGTGTTTTAAAAGACATGCATGTATTGTCTACAAAATTTAGGATGGGTAATTTTCAACGAACATCACTGGTTGCGACACTTTTGGGCACTTTTTTAATGGAATTAAATGACCAAAGGGTGTCTGTAGAAAACTAACCCAGGTTTGTTACTAATCCCAGAAGATGTCAAGACACATTTTATGAGAGATGTTTGCACATCACCTTTTTTGACTGTCTAAAAGACTTACTGAAGCTATGTATGAGGGCTTTGGATTATGATGCAGTGGGCAACACTCTGGGCCTTTAGCTGAAAGAAGTACCACTGTTTCACATTTTCACATTTGGATTTTACACAGGCCAGTGCCTCTGAGTGTGAATTGGTTTCCATACAGTCCAGGATATCGATCGAATAGAGTACGCTCGGCATGCAAGAATTGCCCTAAAACCGCTTTTGATAAAACGTGAAAAGATTTGCCTGATCCCAGAGGAGAAGGTCACAGATCTCCACACCATCATGCACAAAGTCTCGACTCGACTGGTCATTTAACCACTAATGGCATGTCTGGAGGGCCCGCACTAACTCATTCAGAAAGGAGGAGGCTGATTGGGAGACAGAATTAATGAATGCAAATAAGCATAGCGTTCTGAAAAGCCATCAGTTGTTGACAGTCATTAAGATATGCATATCATCACCGCATCGCAGAGAACCTTTCCCCGCAAGGGAACAGGAATGATTGAAATGATCTGGCAGTCTTGAAGTCGTCATCAGAGCCTCCACAAATACGTTCCAGTCACATCACATTTACTTCCCTTTCACATTCTTTTTTTCTTTTTCCCATCTGTCAGGAGCTCACACCCTTTTGATAGATGCGAAAAAACATGCTGCGATTCTCTCAATGTCTTTAATGATATTAATATTCTAATCAGTCTCTCATTTCATCTGCCATCTCCAATTGCAATGTCAGACCAATAATTTATGAGTCGCACTGGTTCGGCTTGACAGCAGACTAATGTCTTCGCTCATAACTCCCACTGTTTATATGTCTCTCCCCAAGTAACAATCCCGCTCACCGCTACTACCTGACCACGGATCCCATCACGGGGCGGCTCTACGTGTCCGACACCAACTCCAGACGCATCTACAGCCCGCAGGCGCTCCTGGCTGGCTCGGAGTCCCAGCAGAATGTGGAGGTGGTGGCGGGAACAGGAGATCACTGTCTGCCTTTTGACGAAACTCGGTGTGGAGACGGAGGACCAGCCACTGAGGCTCTCCTCACAGGACCCAAAGGTATTATTAAAGGATCATTAAAACTGACAATCAAAAGGGTCGTGCATTCTTCTCAAGGAAGGAGTTGAGAAACATGGGTTCTTCAAACTTCTGGAATGGCTGCGATGAATCTTCTGAGGTGGATGACACACTTTGATTGACATGAGAGTTCATCCCAAAGCTCTGTGAGCTTTTAACACTGTATTATGTAGTGAGGTTTTTGATTGGCGCTTCAACGAGGGAAATGGGAACTGACAGCCCGGGGATAGGTACTAAATTATTTGACTGAGCCAGACACAACGGATTGATGAAGCTGCTTTGAACGATTCGTGACTTCACCGACATAAATTATAAAACGTCACACTTGTCTGGTGAATATAGACAACCTATTTCAGCATATAATCTCGTCATGCAGAAAAAGAGATGTTTTCATTGTTTTTCAATGAAATGTCATTCACACACGAATGCACGCACTGAATGATGGATACATTAGGTATCATATTTCCTGTGTAGACGGGTACGTAATGTGTTGAACTGATGGGATGTGCGCAGAGATCTACATTCTGGCTGTCGCAACTATAAAAAAGTCAGAGGCATTGATGCATACATGCATTTTCCTCGGTTGGGACTGAGATTTCTGCTATAACTTCAGTTCACTTGAGTGTTTTCGTCAGGCACACAAACTCTCCGTGCTACCACTCAGCTAGGCACACATTTTCCAACGGCAGTTACTATAGCAACCCACACTTTCATAATTTGGGTTTAAAAGTGGGTTTGATGCTTTCCCTCTCCATGCTTTTGTCAAATACCCTGAGCAGACTTACGGACCGACTGAGACGGAGTGAGAGAGAGCGAACACAGGCTGAAATGCTAGAGGGAGGGAGGGATGTTCTAATACATCCTATTCCACTTTCTCCTTAAGAAATAATTCAGCAGTGGGAGGCAAGATGTGAATAATTGAGGGCAATGCTTTCTGCAGTGACCTGAATAATGGGAAGCCAAACACGACACATGTACCCGCTCCCTGGATCAGGCAAGCAAAGAGCACAGCTGTGTGACCCGCACATTGCGTTCCTTCCTCTCTTCTCTCCAGGGATCGCCGTCGACAAGAACGGACTGATCTACTTTGTGGATGGGACCATGATCCGGAAGGTGGATCAGAACGGCATCATCTCCACCCTGCTGGGGTCCAATGACCTTGCCTCTGCTCGACCTCTGAGCTGTGACTCGGTTATGGACGTCCATCAGGTGAAAAGTGAAAATTGCTCAAATCAACACACTCAAGTCAATTATCATGACCCATCGAGAGACCTACATGAGTTTTGGTCGTAGTACATGTTTCAGATTTAATTTCACCTTTTTTTTTTATACAGTGCAGTGCCACAGTGAATGGGAATGGGAAGGCCAATGGACGATATAATGCTCATATACACAATATATTATGGGAAATATAAAATATTTTTTGAACAGATATTTTGCTCAAAATTCACAAAATTACATATTGATAACAGTTTACAATAAGGTAAAAACTATTTAATTTATTGGTCTAGGTTAATATTATTGAAAAAAAAAAAAAAATATAT